CCTGCCGATATCAAGGCAAAACGCATAGGGGTTTATTCACTAGACTTGAGCACAAGGAGAAATTTCAGCTTTTCGCGACACCCAAGTTTGGCCAGATGTCAGTTTGGCTCAGCCGAATGTTGTTTCAGGAACCAAATTAGGAGAACAAAACAAAGCGCCAATAAAGTGTCCAATCAGTGTGTTGCGAAATATAACGGTATATGTAATATTATATATATATTATACTGTACACTGATTGGAGCATTTTCCTACCATTTGGTTCACAGATCAAGTGAGAAAAAGTAACCAATAGGGTGGAAAAAACAAGAGGAATAGTAAATCTACATTAAATATTACATCTTTATTAACTACATAATATATAAACAGGGGCGGACTGAGAACCCTCAGGGCCCCCGGGCAAAATAAATCAAGGGCCCCCTTACAGGCCCCACCCCTACTCTGCAGCAAGCGCCACCCTTGTCCTGCCTCCATCCAAACCCTACACAATCTTTAGACACAAGGAACAAAAGGGCAATAAGCCCTTCGAGGCCCCAGCAGAGACTACAATTGAGGGCTAATGGGCCATGGAGGGGGGTCTTTCTAGCGGAGGCTATCTCAGTGTCCTTTAGAGAGTGTGTTAGAAAGAATCTCCTCCAAGCCCCATTAGAGACTACAATGGAGTCTAATAGGCTTGGAAGGGGGTCTTTCTAACAGAGGTCATCTCAGCGTCCATTAGATATCCCCTGCTGGAAACAGTCGCCTCCAGGCCCCAGTAGAGACTACAATTGAGGGCTAATGGGCCATGGAGGGGATTTCTAGCAGAGGCTATCTCAGTGTCCAGGGCCGGCCTTAGGCAATTAGGCGCCCTGTGCAAAAAGTCTTCACGGCGCCCCCCCCACCTCCCACCAAGTTGCCTGAATACAGTAACACACACAGGCACCGGGGACGTGTGTATCACGAGGCAAACAAGGCATCTGCCTTGGGCGCCACTTTGCAGGGGGCGGCAAAAAAAAGCATCCCTCCAAACCCCCAGGCAGATCCCTTGCTTGCCTCGCATCCTGGGGGGCTCAAGAGCTGACCGGCTGGCCACTTTTGAGCCCCCCCAAGGCTGGCAGCGGGCAGCGAAGGAGCATACTCACCTGAGCTCTTCCTGCTCAGCTTCCTCTGCGCCGCTTAATGAAGCCGGGAGCCAGAATATGACGTCAGTCCGGCTCCCGGCATCACTAAGCGCTGCTTACTCAGCCTGTGCGCCCCCTGCCTGCCTGCCCAGCAGCCACACTGGACTGCTGGTAAGAAATCCACTCCAGCTTTCCCAGGGAGGCTGGGTGGATTTAAAATAAATGTAAAAAATATTAGTTTGTGAGTGTTAGTGGAAATGTCTGTGTGTGTGTCTGTGAGTGTTTATTTTGAAGTGAATGTGTGTGTGTGTGTGTGTGTGTGTCTGTAAGTGTGTAATTGTGTGTGTCTGTAAGTGTGTAATGTGTGTGTGTCTGTGAGTGAATGTGTGTGTTGGTCAGTGAGTGTATATGTGTCAGTCAGTGAGTGTGTATGTGTCAGTCAGTGAGTGTGTATGTGTCGTCAGTGAGTGTGTATGTGTCGTCAGTGAGTGTGTGTCGGTCAGTGAGTGTGTAAGTCAGTGAGTGTGTAAGTCAGTGAGTGTGTAAGTCAGTGAGTGTGTATGTGTCGGTCAGTGAGTGTGTGTCGGTCAGTGAGTGTGTGTCAGTCAGTGTGTATGTGTCGGTCAGTGGAGTCGTGCATCTTTCAGTGAGTGCTTGCGTCTGTCAGTGAGAGTGTGCATCTGTCAGTGTGTGTCCAAGTAATAGTGTATGTGTGTATGTCATTGTTTGTCAGTGTATATGAGAGTGTGTGTCTGTCAGTGAGTGTGCGTCTGTCAGTGAGTGAGCGTCTGTCAGTCAAAGTGCGGCCTTGACAGGAAGGGGTGGGGAAATTTAAACTCGGTTACAGGCATGTACACACACACTCAGTTAAAGGCAGTCACACATACAGGCACAGGCACAAACAATGGCACAGCTACAGCGACACACACAGACAGACGGTCACATAGGCAGTCACACACACAGACAGACACACAGTAACACACACATAGACAGTTATACACACACAGGCAGGCAGTCACAGATAGAAAGTCACACACACAGGCAGGCAGTCACACACAGACAGATAGTTACAGACAGACACACACAGGCAGGCAGTCACATACAGGCAGTCACACACACAGGCAGTCACACACACAGACAGACAGTCACACACAGGCAGGCAGTCACACACAGAGACAGTCACACACAGAGACAGTCACACACACACAGAGAGACAGACAGTCACACACACACACACAAGGACAGGCAGTCACACAGACAGTCACACACACACACACACACAGACAGTCACACGCACACAGGCAGGCAGTCACACAGACAGTCACACACACAACAGACAGACAGTCACACAAACAGGCAAACAGTCACACACACACACTTACCTCTTTCCAGTGGATGCAGTTGGCTGATGGGAAAGCATCTTTCCCTCTTCCTGTACAGCAGGGGCTTCGGGAGGTATTAGCCCCGTCTCCGCCTCTCGATAAGCCCCGCCTCCGCCGCTCGGTAAACCCCGCCCCCTCTGCCGCGATTTTTTTTTTTTTTTTAAATAGACCCGGGTGGAGAATAATTAATCCTCCAGCCAGGTACCTCTTTTAGCTCCCCTGCACTCCGGCCATGAGTGAGCTGTGTCGGCCACAGGGCGCCCCCTGTTCCATGGCGCCCTGTGCGGTCGCACAGCTCGCACACCCCTAAGGCCGGCCCTGTCAGTGTCCTTTAGAGAGTGTGTTAGAAAGAATCTCCTCCAGTCCCCATTAGAGACTACAATGGAGTCTAATGGGGCCTGGAGGGTGGTCTCTCCAACACTCTGGTTCCTATTCACAATATAGCAACACAACATAGCTCACTGATACCTAAGCCAAGTTGGCTCCTCTTACCTTAATTACTGTTGCTGGCTGGCAGTCTGTGGGCTTGCTTGCTGCGGCTGGCAGGCTGTGGGCTTGCTGGCTACTGCCGGCAGGCTGTGGGCTTGCTGACTGCAGCTGGCAGGCTGCGGCTGGCAGGCTGTGGCTTGCTGGCTGCGACTGGCAGGCTGTGGGCTTGCTGGCTGTAAGCCTGTGGCTTGCTGTAGGCCTGTGGGCTGGCTACTGGCCTGTGGGCTGGCTACTGGCCTGTGGGCTGGCTAACTGGCTGGCTACTGGCCAGCCTGTGGGCTGGCTAACTGGCTGGCTACTGGCCAGCCTGTGGGTTGGCTGGCTGGCTACTGGGGCACTTGTAGATTATTTAAAGAAATAATCCATGCACAATAACCACTACTGCTCCAGAGTAAGTAGTCAGACCATTTAAGAACAGTTTGACAATTTACCTGGGATCTGCTGGGATATGGGGCTGTAGTAGGGAATAGGAGCAGTGGTGCAATGTGTGTGAAAGGTTCAGTGTGTGTGTGTGGGGGTGTAGTGTGTGAATGTGTAGGGTGTGTGGGCTGTGTATGTGTGTGGCAATTTTAGTATGGGG